ACCGGCAGCATTCATGGACTTGATGAACCGTGTGTTTAGTGAATACTTAGATCAATTTGTGATAGTATTCATTGATGATATCTTAATATACTCCAAGAGCGAGGAGGAGCACGAACATCATTTAGGGCTTATACTTGATCGGCTAAAGGAAAAGCAACTCTTTGCCAAGTTCTCTAAATGCGAATTTTGGCTCAAGGAGATTGGTTTTCTCGGTCACGTCATATCCGGTTCAGGCGTAGCTGTGGATAACGCCAAGATAAAGGCTATCATGGATTGGGAGAGACCCAAGAATGTGAAAGAGATACGTAGTTTCCTTGGCTTAGCGGGATACTATCGTAAATTTGTTGAAAAATTCTCCGTATTGGCGTCTCCATTAACGAAGCTCACAAAGAAAAGGGCCAAGTTCATATGGGACGACAAGTGTGAGAAAGGGTTCCTTGAACTGAAGAAACGACTTACCGAAGCACCAGTCCTCGCCCTACCCATACAGGGGATAGGGTATGATATTTACAGTGATGCTAGCATCCAAGGGTTTGGATGTGTACTGATGCAAAACGGTAAGGTGATTGCCTATGCTTCAAGGCAATTGAGAAAGCACGAGGTGAACTACCCTACCCATGACCTAGAATTGGGGGCGGTAGTGTTTGCACTAAAAATTTGGAGACATTATCTCTACGGGGAGACATGTCACATTTATACAGATCATAAGAGCTTGAAGTATGTATTCACTCAAAAAGAGTTGAATATGAGGCAGAGGATATGGATGGAGTTGATCAAGGACTACGACTTGATCATCGACTATCATCCCGGAAAGGCCAATGTAGTGGCCGACGCACTGAGCAGGAAGAGTACGTAAGGGACATTACTTACTTGTCTGCGGGCATTGAGGGCACGCGTGGAGGTGTCCACGCGTGGGGCTTTCATTGCTCAATTTGAGGTTAGGCCCACCCTATTGGGCGAGATTAGTCGAAGTCAGGCCATTGATGAGGAATGTCAGAAGATCCGTGAAAGGATCCTTGAGGGGCCCGTTGAGAATTTTCGGGTACGTGATGACGGTCTTTTGATGTTTAAAGATCGTGTGTGCATACCAAAGGATGAGGAGCTCCAGAAGTCTATACTTGAGGAGGCTCATTCTTCAGCATATGCTATGCATCCAGGAGGTACTAAGATGTACCGAGATTTGAAGGAAAGTTACTGGTAGTCAGGTATGAAGAGAGATATCGCAGAGTATGTGAGTCGATGCCTTACTTGCCAGCAAGTTAAGGCAGAGCATCAGCACCCAGCAGGGCTCTTGCAGCCACTCACCATCCCAGAGTGGAAGTGGGAACATGTGACCATGGACTTCGTGGTGGGGCTGCCACGAACAGTGAACAACTACGATGCAGTATGGGTAGTGGTTGATAGGCTCACCAAGAGTGCACACTTTCTGCCTATCAACATTACTTATCCTCTTGAAAGATTGGCCAAGCTATACACGGAGGAGATTGTGAGATTACATGGAGTCCCAATATCCATTGTCTCGGATAGGGATCCACGATTCACATCCCGATTTTGGCCAAAGTTTCAAGCATCGTTGGGTACTAAACTGAAGTTTAGCACAGCCTTTCACCCACAGACGGATGGACAGTCCGAACGGGTGATACAGATTTTGGAAGACATGCTTAGGGCATGTGCGCTGGAGTTCCAAGGAAGTTGGGACAAGCATTTGGCCCTAGTGGAGTTTGCTTATAACAACAGTTATCAAGCAAGTATCGGCATGCCTCCATATGAGGCATTGTATGGGAGGAAATGCAGAACACCATTGTGTTGGGACGAGGTTGGCGAGGCCAAACTCGAAGGGATAGAGCTGGTTGAGATCACCAAGGCCAAGGTGAGGATCATTCGGGATAGACTGAAAGCTGCTCAGGACCGACAGAAGAGTTATGCTGATAAACGGCGGAGACCGTTGGAGTTCGAAGTCGGTGATGAGGTCTTCCTAAGAATTTCTCCTTGGAAGGGCATCATTCGATTTGTATCGAGGGGGAAGCTTAACCCCCGATACATCGGCCCATTTGAAATCCTTGAAAGGATAGGGGTCGTGGCTTACCGTCTCAAGTTGACGGCTGAACTTGAGAAGATACATGACGTGTTTCATGTATCAATGCTCAAAAAGTACATACGAGACCCATCTCATATTCTCGAGAAACCACCGGTAGAGATCCGTGAGGACTTGCAATATGCGGTGGAACCAGTGAAGATTGTTGGTCAACAAGTGAAGAAGCTTAGGAGTAAGGAGATTCCTATGGTAAAGGTTCTTTGGAGGAGTGATCGAGTCGAAGAAGAAACTTGGGAGACCGAGGTCTCAATGAGGGAGCAATACCCATTTCTTTTCGATTAGATACTTGGATTTCGGGGACGAAATCCCAAATAAGGGGGGGTGAACTTGTAACACCGTCCCCAAATATATTTACTTTTATGTAAATAATGTATTGAACCTTAATAAAGGATTTATGAATTTACGAAGTTGTAAATTTTTATTATTTCTTTCGCGTGAATAGTAAATTGCACGTGGGACCCACACCGGGAGCGGGGGCCGCCCGATATTCCCGAGATCACATAAATTATCATTATGGGTCGAAATAATATTTATATGGTGGTGAACATCTTATTTGGGCCATGGGAAGGCCTGGGGTTGACCGATTGGTCAAAAGAAGCCCAATTACCGGTACCGACAATTAAACGGATAACAGCCCGAAAATGAATTTCGGAGACTTCCAAATTAAAGTTTTGGGATATATATTATTTCAAAGGTGAGTATGATGGGGAACACATAATATATTTTATTTTACCCGATAAAATAAATTATGATTAAAACAGTCCGAAAAATACAACTTTCGGGACCGATTGTACACACCGGGACACAAAGGGATGACCTCCCACAGGAGTGGGGGCCAACCCACGTTTTTTTGTGCTGTAACAACAAGGAAGGGCCTAGGTTGACAAGAGATTGAGTGGAGGAAGGTGCAAGGGGGCCCTTTGACCTCACTCATTTGTCAAAGGAGACAAAAAGGACACCCCAACATCTCCCCTATGCATTATTTCGGCCTAGCTACCAAAGGAGGAGGAAGAAAAAGCTCTCCAACCTTTCTCCATTGCTGCAACTCGAGCTCAAGCAAGAGAGGTCCAAGGAGTGGGATTAAAGAAGGAAAAAGGCTAGGAAAAGTGTGTAAATTAAGGTAATGACCTCATTATAACTTTTCCTTTATTTTTCTCCTACCATATGAGATATATATCATGTGAAGAATCCTTAAGAGGGTTCTACATGTTATAAGTATGGATTTATGGGTTGGGAAGTGATTCTATGTCCAAGAACGGTCTTAGAAGCCAAAACGACCGGTTCACCGGAAAATAACCTTTTTGAGGTTATTTGTATTAATATGGGTTTTATGATTATAAAACCTTGTTAGGAACTTGTGAAAGGTATTTCAAGTGATTTCACAAAGTTGGAAAAGTCGCCGGAGTTGTCGCCGGAGTTGACCGAAAGTCGCCGGAGTTTCACCGGAGTTCAACCAAGAGGGGTAGAACTTCATACGCTAGTTCAAGGTGAGTGGACGGCTTAATATCTTATAACTTTTGGGTTAATTATGAGATTACCTAAATAAATGTTATATGTGTTCATAATGATGTTTAAAAGATATTTAAACATGTGATTAGCCAACCTGATTAAGTTGTATGAAAAGAATTAATTGTTTATGCATGAAATATGATATGAGGAATTATATAAAATGCATATTAGCTTGAAGTGTAAAAGAAGCACAAATGAGTATTATTAACTTAATTATATGATGATTAAGTTGATATGTACAAGGCTTGAATTGGTGGTCAACGACAACGTTGACCGATGAATAATGGATTAATTAATATCGGTTGATATTAGTTAATTATACATTTATATAATTGCATGGCTTTGCATGGGTTGTGATACATAAGCTTTATGTATTGAATTAGTTATGAGTAACTAAGTATGATATAGACTCTATCTAGGTTGATAGGAGGTTGATCATAGGAAAATATTTTGGTGGAGGACCCTAGTACTTAAAAGTACTTAACACTCAAAACTTGGTGGAGGACCCTAGTACTTAAAAGTACTTAACACTCAAAACTTGGTGGAGGACCCTAGTACTTAAAAGTACTTAACACTCAAAACTTGGTGGAGGACCCTAGTACCTAAAAGTACTTAACACTCAAAACTTGGTGGAGGACCCTAGTACTTAAAAGTACTTAACACTCAAAACTTGGTGGAGGACCCTGGGGCTTAAGGTCCTTAACACTCGGATTATAAATTGGTGGAGGACCCTGGGACTTAAAGTCCTTAACACTCGGATTATAAATTGGTGGAGGACCCTGGGGCTTAAAGTCCTTAACACTCGGATTATAAATTGGTGGAGGACCCTGGGGCTTAAAGTCCTTAACACTCGGATAATAAATTGGTGGAGGACCCTGGGGCTTAAAGTCCTTAACACTCGGATTATAAATTGGTGGAGGACCCTGGGGCTTAAAGTCCTTAACACTCGGATTATAAATTGGTGGAGGACCCTGGGGCTTAAAGTCCTTAACACTCGGATAATAAATTGGTGGAGGACCCTAGTACTTAAAAGTACTTAACACTCAAAATTTGGTGGAGGACCCTAGTACTTAAAAGTACTTAACACTCATAGATTATGATATTGAAATAGGGACAAGGAGGAGTCCTATACACTCATAGGTATATGGGTGGGTTGGGGTTTTTAGTCAAGAATATTGACTATTACTATTTTCCCAAATAAAACGGTGATCTACGGATCGGGTATTTTCCAAGTATATATATACTAATGAGTATTTCATAACTTGGGGGAGAGGACTATTTATATAAGTATCACCCTATGTTTGGGTCTTATACTTGAAACGCTAGTTATTCTATATTTAGCCTGCTACTCGCTCGGTACTTGTACTGACCCCTTCGGGCCCCCCACCATTTTCAGGTTGAAGCTAGAGCTTGCTACTTGCACCTTCTCGCGGGTGGTATCACATCAGGAAGACATGGTTCGTGCTTCCTTATTTTCTTTCAAACTACCGAACACTTGCTCATGGATATTTGTTCTACAATAAACTGTTTTTGGGGCTTGCATGCCCATGTTGTTGGCCGGCTGTGGCCTATGACTTACCGTTGAATATTTCCGTTATTCATTGGTTTAAATGTGATGTTGTTATGTATGTTTACTACTGAGTATGGATGGATTGTTTTCTAGGACGCCTTGTGTAATTAAGTGAGGTTGACTCGTGGGTGACGTCACTTGATTATACGGCGGTTGTACACGCACTTAGATTGCGGTCTGGGGCGTGACATGGTTAATCTTTGATGGTTTCACAAGTAAGTAACTTCGGTTTATTAATGCACGGTCGTGGTTAATAAACTTAAGAGAGATTAATTTTGTTGGTTAAATCGAAACCGTTGTGTTAAGGTTATCAATCTCAATTGATTTCATCAAGGAGTTAAAAAGATTAAATGCTACTATTAAATCGTTATACGACGTTGTTCTGTATTTGATTAATAGTAAGAGTTGTAATGAACGGTCGTTGTTAATAACTACCCTCGATGAATTGGATATACTCCTTGATTGAGTATTCAAGAGGGGATAAGTTATAGATATAACAAGGATCAACTAAAATGCATCAACAAGTGGAAAGTAGCAAAGCCAAGTGCCTTTTATTCTTGAATTAAATTTCATATAAGTCGCTCATCTTCGTGGTTAATTAAATTCAATCAAGCTTGAGGTACACATTTTCATACACACACCTACATAACTCATGTTTGTGTGTGTGAAAAATGTGTGCCAATAGATTTTTTGTATTTTTATTCCATGTTAAAAGCAACAAACGGCTCATGTGCCCATTGGAAGAAAATATCGTTATGCTTTAAAGATATCTGCTAGTAGCAGTAGAACAACCCTTACGAGTATTTTAATCTTAGTCAATAAACCATGAAATGTTTGTAACGTGCAAATCCAAACGTTCAAAAACTATTTTTCATTGAAGTTATAACTTTATTATGTATAAGATGTATAAATAATTATCAATAAACTAATGTGTGAAAAAATAATTAAAATAAATAAATGTTTTATTCATTTGAAATACTCCCAATATTTCCAACAATTTGATGGTTTCATGAGGGAAATAAATTTCTTGAGATGCCACACCGACAATTGCTGCTACTAGAAGAGGACTGAGAACTGTTATCTTATCTTGCTATTATATGTAGATGACATGTTAATTGTAGGAGCTAGTTCAAAGGAGATTGAAAAGCTGAAGATCCAGTTGTCAAAATGTTTTTCCATGAAAGATTTTGGAGAGGCGAAACAGATTTTGGGCATGCGAATCGAGAGGAATGAGACAGCAGGCAGATTGTTTCTTTCACATGCAGAATACATTTAGAAGGTCTTGGAAAGATTCAGAATGCAAGATGCAAAGACAGTAAGTATACCACTCGGTACTCACTTCAAGCTTAGCAAGGAAGATTTGCCAAAGAACAAGGAGGAGCCTGCTCAAATGCATAATATCCCATACGCCTCGACAATTGGCACCATCATGTACGCTATGGTGTGCACAAGGCCAGACATTGCACATGCGGTGGGAGTAATGAGCATATTCATGGGAGATCCGGGAAAAGAACATTGGGAAGCTGTGAAGTAGATCTTGAGGTATTTGAAAGGTACTGTTGACGTGCACTTTGTCGTGTGTGCACTCAAAATAATTCAATACTAACAACTATACGTAGTATAGCGTAGTAGAGTTCGTATTCATAGGGAAAAGAATAACTCCTTTTTAATGAACTAGTAAATAAAAGGGGTTTTTGATTTTGTGATTTAATTAAATTAAACGCGAAGATGAACGAGTTATATGGGTTTTAATTCAAAGATAAAAGGGACTTGGCATTGCTATTTCCACTTGTTGATATATTTTAGTCGATCATTGTTATATCTATAACTTATCTCCTCTCGAATACTCAATCGAGGAGTATATCCAATTCATCGAGGATAGCTATTAACAACGACGGTTCATTAATAACCCTTACTATTAGTCAAGTATAGAACAACGTCATATACCGACTTGATAGTATCATTTAATCTCTTCACTCCTTGATGAAATCAATTGAGATTGATAACCTCAACACAACGGTTTCGGTTTAACCAATAAAATTAATCTCTCTTAAGTTTATTAACCACGACCGTGCATTAATAAACCGAAGTTACTTACTTGTGAAACTATCAACGATTAACCATCGGTTCGTTGATCGTTTCTAGTAATAATTAATATATGAAACAAAACTAGTTGATCCTTTAAGTAATGTTCAAAATATTAATATGAAATATGAATAGGAATTAATTAATACTCAAGGAAGAATATTAAAGAAAATGAATCCTACTAAAGTTAATATCAAGATGTTAACTAATTGTCATCTTAGTAACACTCCCCAATATTAACATAGAGGAAGGAATAGCTATTACTAAGACCAATGTCAAGATGTTAACTAATTGTCATCTTAGCAACACTCCCCAACATTGATATAGAAATAGTATTTTAAGGAAGAATTAATATTCAAGGAAAGAAGTTAAGAAAATTACTCACAACTTTAATAATCAACAAGCTTCAAGAGCAATACCAAGAAATGAGAGTTTAGCTCCTCATTTGGAGACTAAACATGCTAGAAGAAATATAAAGAAATGCTATTATAAACTGAGCTTAAGAGTATAAAGGAATTGGTTCTTATTGTGAAGGAAATGAGGTGTATTTATAGGCTTTTTAGGGGTGCAGCTCGGGTACTCGATTGGGTATATACATGTACCCGATCGAGTATGTGTAGAAACTCGAATTCGATCTATACTCGATCGAAATTAGAGTAAAATTTATAGCCATACCCGATTGAGTATGTCGGTGTACCTGATCGGGTATAGACACTCGATCGTGGTCAAAATCTTCCTTGCATGTTCCTTTGTTTTCGGATCCGATCCGATTTGAAATTTCAACAAGATACCCGATCGAGTATAGATGATACTCGACCGGGTATAGACCAAAAATCAGGATCTTCCCTTTTGTCTTGTGATTTTGCACCTTCCTTCCACTTTTGGGGTTCACCAACTGTCTTTTGAGTGATAGTAGACCTGTTTGAGCTCAGAATAAACCTAATCTAAACAATTTACAAGAATTTAACAAACTAAACTATTACACCAAAAGTGTGTAATTTCTGAAATATTAAACAACCAAAACTAACTAAAAATGTAAACAAACACACGAAAATTACAAGCGTATCAACTGTTTCTAATACCTTATGTTTTGATGGAAAGAACGTGGAGTTGCTGGGACATGTTGATGCATTACTGAGGCAAACAAGGAATAGGTGGGGCTTGAGAATTTACTTGGGGAACTTGCAAAGGAGTACAAGAATAACATATTTTACATTGACAGTCAAAGTGCTACTCCCTCCGTCCCCGAAAGTAGTTCCCCATTTGACTTTCACACACTTTTATGCAAGTAAACTTACCAGGGGTAAATTTTACTGTTTCGACACTGTTTGACACTGTTTTGCACTGTTTTGATGCAGATAACTTTCCATTTAAGGAAATGGGAACTTAAATTAGGTACATCCAAATAAGGAAAATGAGAACTTCTTTCGGGAACGGAGGGAGTATATTCTTGGCAAACAACTCAGCTTTTCACAAGAGAACCAAACACATTCGGTTGAAGTATTACTACATTCGTCATCTTCTGGAGTCAATTTTACTAAGGTGGTGACCTTAGAGAAATTGAAGCTTCGCATAGCTTTAATTGGCCTTGGTACTTGAAGAAGGAGCCCGACGCTACCATGCTAAGAATGGAAGATTTGAAGAAGACAGTCTCAATGTGGGAGATTGTAAGGTGTTAGAGACCGTATAACCAAGCTCTATCCGTCAAATTTTTTTGGGTCCGTTTCTGAGGAGCCGCGAGTTTCCGTACAGTTTTGGGCCGTACGGGTGTGGGCCCCACGTGCGTCCTATTATATTTAGGGGTTATGATTTACTCTCTATAAATACAAGCTCTCTCCCTTGTAATCAGTTGATCCGAAATATTAATAACATTCCTGACTTGGTAGCGCCCCAGACGTAGTCATTCGTGGCGAACTTGGTTACCAAATTTCGTGTGTTCTTCTTTATTGTTCTTTGTGTTGCGTGAATTAATTCCTAACATTGAGAAGGAGACGGATTCCATGGACTGGAATAAAGGGAACTTAGAGAAAGAGACGGCTTGGTTACTCGGTTAATGCAAAAGTAATTGAGAAGCGTAAAGATCGAAGTAAGAAGTTCAAATTCATGACGACAGTTCTCATTTCACGCGCTCGATCCACCAACATCATGAATGGGGGAAATTGTTGGGCCCAAAATATTACTTCCACTGTCCCTGATAACTTTGTCAACTTTCCTTTTTTGGATGTCCCATTAATTTGCTACATTTCCATTTAAGTAAAGAATTTGTGGTTCCAGTTAATTCTCTCTGCTCTACACAAACCTCAACCAAACAGTTTTTATTTCATTAATTCTCGTGTCAGTCTAACTTGACAAAGTTATTAGAGACGGAGGGAGTATTTTTCTTTGAAATAGGACCTAGTACTATTCGATCAGAAGAAAGGCCCAGTCCGAGATAAATAAACTGAGTCCATTCCAAGGTTAATGAACAAAGACAGTAAATTCGGATAGAGTTAAATCAAGTCAAGTTGATGAATAAATACATAGAGTAGTGGCAAATGTAAACAAACGATCATTCATGATCAACTAAGCATTCAAACTGTGCAAACCGATTCAATCAATATCTATTAGCTACTATACGTAGTATTATTCTTACTTTTAATCGAATCATTGTTGATTTACATTTGTACGATACTCATTCAATTCATATCTTTTTAGATTAGTTTATTTTAGCATAAACAAGGGTAAAATTTTCTGATATGATAATAAAAAATAATGGCAAAAAAAATGTTAAACCAACAAAAAAACCAGCCTCTTTGCATACATTTCCCTGCTTTTTGTGCATACATTTCCCTCCTAATTAATTCTATTTCAGCTTGACAAGGAAATTTTATGTGTTTCCGTTCTCAAATTCCTTATTAGCTTGGACTGGTTAGTTTTGTCCATTGCTGTGGTTATTCTGCATTTTTAGAAGAAGAAAAAAGCATTGTGGACCATACGGTGCTACAAACTATAACGGTGCTATAAATTAACTTTCATTTTCTATTATCCTTTCCCGTTATGAAAGGCAACCCCAAGGGAACTTACATGAATATACTTGCTGGATAGCTATCACTTTGATCAGGCACCCATAGAGATAATTCTAACTACTTCCCTGCTTTTAGAGAGTGCATACTTATATAAGTTTATTTCACATTTTTAATTGCAAATTATAAGAACTGGGAGGGGCCTCTGATGGTTTTTGAAGCTGAGATTGAGAGCCCTAGCTATTCTTATAGTGAAAATGAAAAGCTGGAGGGCTTCTCTATTAATTGAGAAGAATACACAAATAATGCAAAATGTATCAGTAAGGCTATTTTCGTGACATGTTCCCATAATCATTCAGTCATAAAATTTTTATGCTCAATTACCTTTTTATGTTGTCGTTTTATATCTTGAATTTTTTGTGAGATTTAAATTAGACGTAGTCTAAATTTGCATTATACTAGTATTAATTTTTAGTTCTTCAAGAACAACTTGAACCTGTCGATCAATAGTTAGTACGGACTATTAAATTTTAAACTTTTTGTGTCTGTTGGGTTGAACAACCTGTTTATTTTATGCTGAAAACAATTTTAACCTTCTGTTTCACATTATGTTTTGTATATATATATACATTGCTAAACCTTTTTCTCGCAATTATTTGTGTTATTATCTATGAGCTACTATGTATGTGTATATATATACAACCTCCGTCCCAAAAAGAGTTGCAAATTTGACTTTTCTTAGTCAAACAGTCTCATTTTGTTCACTTAATTAGAATGTCAATTTTTAAATATTTTCTAATTTGAAGTTTGCAACTTTGAAGAGATTCTAATGTACTTTTTGAATATGTAAATTTTAATTATTAAAAATTGAATTAATTATCCATAGGAAGAGTTGACTTTTATTATTGGTTGACCAAAAAATGTTGACTTTGCAAAACAAATTGGGACGGAGGGAGTATATATATATATATATATATATATATATATATATATATATATATGAATTCAAATATTTGTACAGTTTCACCCACCAAAAACGAACATGGAATCTTTTATTAACAACCACATATATATTGTATACACGCTATTTTTTGAGCTGAGGTATTATTACACGTACTAAGAAAAACAAGAGAAACATGAGTATACCCTGAATCATATATGATCTGTAAAGATACATTCTAATGATTCTAGAAAGACACAGGCTCCTAAATATATGGAACAAGCATGGAAAAGGTAAACAGCTAATTAAGATTAAGATTTTTAGTTCTTGGCAACCCAGACAATGTGATCCTCTGGAAGGAAATGGCAAACAGGAACCGTCCCTGGCTTGACCTTTAGCACCTGGAAAGCCAAATGCTTTGGGTTCCAACCGGAGGTATCTTTGTGGCAAACCGCCGCCGCCTTGACCTGACCTCTATTAGCTCCGACCAGAGAAACCTTAAAAGCATCTGTCGTCTTTGACTTGTGGCAATAGAACACTGCGTATGGGTAGTTTTGCTTGTGGCAGACCACAACTCCTTCTTCCTTGTTCAGTTTTTCGACGCCTGAAATGGTGTATTTCTGAAGGGACGATGTGTCTCCGGCGAGGGTTTCGGTTGATACCGCCAGGATTTTCTTGTCGCTACCCAGCTTGGATTTGGAGAATTCGATCATGGATTCTAGTGATGTGGCGCACTGTTTCTCCTCTCCCTTGATGGCGGGATCTTCGCATTCTTTGATGGTTTGCTTCATCGCCTGAGCTTCGTCGGAGTCGGGGTTGACGGAGAAACGGTTGAGAATCTCCGGGATGTTCTTGGAGGAGAAGGGGATCTTTTCCGATTCCGTCCCGGGCAAGAAAACGGCGTCGTTGGCGGTTTTGGTGAAGTGCAAGGTCATGTCGGCGTTGCCTCGATGTAAGGCGGCGGGCCGGAAGAAGAGGGCGACGTTAGGGTTGTCGTGGAGCTGGTCTTCTTTTGCGGCATAGTTGTAGTTGAAAGGGCTGCCGGCCCCGACGTGTACTCCGACTGGTTTTCCATGTTTTCCACCGGTTCCAACGGAGACACCGCCTTTTCCGACGCCCACGTTAGTCCCCGAGCCGGATTTTCCGGGGGCATGGACGCTGACACCGCCTTTCCCGACACCGACATTGGTCCCCTGACCGGATTTTCCTGGGGCATGGACGCTAACGCCGCCTTTCCCGACACCGACATTGGTCCCCTGACCTGATTTTCCTGGGGCATGGACGCTAACGCCGCCTTTCCCGACTCCGATGGTGGTACCTTGGCCAGATTTTCCTGGGGCCTGGACGCTAACGCCGCCTTTCCCTACGCCGACATTAGTACCTTGACCGCCGGACTTTCCAGGGGCATGGACGCTGACGCCGCCTTTACCGACACCGACGGTGGTTCCCTTGCCGGTGTGAACACCAACTCCGCCATTTCCAACTGCTACATCAGTTCCCTTCAACTCCAGCCACTCTACAAAAGGTCAAATATAATAACAAAGGGTCAGTAATATACTAATGTAATATGTAATGATACGTTTTTAAAAAATGGGGTACCGTGCCTATCATTCATTTGATTAGACCACATCACTTTATCATTTTAATTTAGATTTAAATAATTCAACTGCAACATTCTCATTGGTCCACGTGGACAAAGGTATGGTACCTTATGGGTACCATAGAATCTACCTTTCTCAATTACTACTACTATTGTGTTTTCTAAATGAGGGTCATTCAATTCGTTTTTTAATTGCTACCGAGTATTATATTCCCTCTGTTCCAATTTGTTTTGCAAAGTCAACATTGTTTTGTCAATCAATAATAAAAGTCAATCCTCCTTATTGATAATTAATTTAATGTTTAATAATTAAAATTTATATATTCATAAACTACATTAAAATCTCTTCAAAGTTGTAAACTCGAAATTAGAATATAAATAAAAATTGGCATCCTGATCAAGCGAACAAAACAAAACCGTTTGACCAAGAAAAGTCAAATTTACAACTCAATTTGGGACGGAGGTAGTATCTTTTACGGAGTATTAGGATTTATACTATGTGTATACATAATAAGTTATGTTTTGCATACTCCATCAATCCATCATCACTCTTAAATTGGGTAACGTTTTTTAGTTTAATTTGTTACTTCGATCAAGACTTGTGCACGCACAACTCAACATTTAATAAAGGAAAAAAAAGACTCAATATTTTAAGTTCCAAGTTTCAAAATGATCTTTAATACTACGTATATACTTACACAAATAAATGTGTATCAGATCAGTATATACTTACACAAAGACTACGTAGTATTTTATTTATTAATGTATTTGATCAGTATTTTTAAAAATTATTAGTTCGCCTCATCTGATCTCAAAATTTCAAAATGTTTTTTTTTTTAAATTTATAATTATCAATAGCAATATAAATATATGAAAATGTAAGTTTTACGTGAAAATGGTTACATCTTCAAAAAATGTTTTCTAATGGAATAATGGATCGAATGATATAAAGAAGTACAGTAAATATTAGGGGTATTTAATTTTCAAAAGGAGAACTAACCAGGTGTTTGGGATAGGGAATCCTTGATTGCTTGGGGAATTGGAGTGTTTGGAAGCTCAGAATTCCAGTAACTCTGCGCCGGTGAGGGAGATAATGCTGCTTGGCTTGCCACCACCGCCATCTGATAAAAAAATCGAAAATAAAGAAAAGAAAACGAATTAATTACCAAATAATGAAAATATAATGACATGCACTCCAAACAGGATCTGGGATGCTCTAAAAATTGAAAGATGGTAGTATTAATTTTCCTGATTTTCAAAATTTTGGTTTTATGTTCTCAACAAAAAATGAATATTCAAACTGAGCCACTACTCAACCAAATAACAAACTTAATAAAGCTTTTTTTTTTACAGAAACTTAGTAAAGCTTAGACTAGTGTAGTCTTAGAATTTTATACTACTCCGTAGTAACAAAAATCAAGGGACACGATATGACCAAGAAAGAATTAATGCAAAACATTGAGATAAATATGGAAGTAATGGAACCCAATATACAAAAGAAGCTAATTGTTACAGCTAATTAGGTTTCAAATTAAAGATATACTTACACAAAGAAATGTGAGGAGTTTAATGATGAAATGATTGTGCTCCATCTTTGTCAGTGCAAGTATTGTTTTGATAATAGAGTTGAGATGAAGAAGAAAATTAAAGGATGCTAAAATGATTGGAGGTAAGGAATAATGAGAGAGTGGGAGCAGTATTTATAATAAGTGAGATTAGAAGAAGAGTAAATGGGGCTGCTTGAGGAAAGCAACACATCAACTATACACATTAAACCGCCTCTAGCCATGATGGTAATAAAACGTACCCAACCCTTTCAAAAGGACCATTATATTGGATCAAGTGTAATGGGTTGACCAAGTCTCACTCAGGACAGATCTACATTAAGGCGATGATGATGAGGCGGGTTGATCTATGATGTAGCTACAAGCCTACAATAACATACTACCTTCTCCATTCCATTATAAAAAAATGAATGACACCACATCCCTCAGCCCTTAAGTCTCTGGAATCGACCTAATAGTTGTCTGTTAGGATGATTAAGTTGAATTCAGAACCTCTCCCTTATGACACACTATTGCCATCTTGTGAATTACGCCCCCTGATTCCTTTGTTCCATTGACATTGGGACATGAGAAGGTGGTGTGATTATCGATAAAGTGAGTTTATGTGGTTGATATTGAATTGATAGAGTATGGAGAAATTAAGAATGATTTAGAATCACATAAAATGAACCAAATTTGTTTCATCTAAGGATGTTTTTTCTTGGATTGTAATTTGCTGGTGTGGTCTGATCTGAACTGGTCTGGTCTGGTTTCTTTGTATTTTTATAACTACCCAAGTCTGGTCTGGTCTGATCTGGCCTGGTCTGGTCTGGTCTGGTCTGATCTGGCCTGGTTTGGTCTGGTCTGGGACAAATTACAGTCCAAGTAAAAACATCCAAAGATCTAAATTGTTCCATCTTTCCGTTTAGGTCCGTCAACTAATATTGTCTTATACCAAATTCTGTAAAGTTTGTGTACATGGTTATAAATCATTATTTTATTCTCAATTTATGAATTCAATATCAACTACAAAAATTACTTTTCTTTAATAACTACATCACCCCTCAAATCTTTTAATTGGAATGGTGATTAGTGATATTTTGAAATTGAAGTAGCAATGGTGAACCAAACAAATCGGATTGAGTACAATGTGAAACAAATTAAATGAGACAAAAAAAAGGAAAATGTAAGAAAAATCATTATTAAAGATTATAAATCCGTAAGTGCATACGAATTTTGCAGCATTAAATGCGGTGCTGCTATCGGCACACGTTACATATAGATGGGGAGACAGGTGAAATGAAGTTCGGGGGCAGCTGCACATAATATGTACACACCCAAATTTATGGCAGTGTGAAACATGTAAGTTAGTCCGTATTATGGTAACCTCATCAAGATGGTTCTACAACTACTGACTTGTGAGACCTTATATTTAAAGACGTCACAGTCAAAGTCTCATTTTTTAATGTTTTTTGTGACAACTCCGGTATCTTTCTAAAATGTGGGGTACTGTACCTATTATTCATTTAATTGGATTACATCACTTTATCATTTTTAATTTAGATTTAAATAAGAGTGATTTCTCTAAATAGGACTAAAACAAGGCGGAATTGCAAAAATAGGACTGCTATGTTTTATTGAACAAAAATAAGATTTAAAAGAGTTAATCTGACAAAAATACCCTTAATGAAATAAAACTAAAAACTCTCCCAGGCGTGCGCTTCTGGAAGACTGTGGCCGCAAGGAATTCTCCGGCGAAACTTTGCTCCCATCTAAATCTTGGTCTCTGAAGCCGCCTTTGCTGCCGCCCAAAATATCTCTGCTTCAACAATCTGTCACCAACAAGTGCAGGGGAAAGTAGCTCCCTACTTCAAATAGCAGGTCATCTTCTTCACTTCTTCTTCCTCATTCTCTTCTTCTCCTTCTCCTTCTTCTCATCTTCTTCAATGTCCTCTGTTTTCTTCTTCTTTGATTTTGAATTTTATTTATTGATTTTGATTAATCTTGACTTTGAGAATGCCATAAAATAAATAACATTTATAAAAAATGTCACTTTTATGACATTGCACCTATTAAGATGACAGTATTATTTTAAAATCATAAGACTCTAGAATGTCATATTTTTGTCCCTTTCAAAAAATAATGTCAGTTTTATGCCACTAACTTTATAAAGATGACATTTTCTTACTGCACTTTAACTTTTACATCTTAATGGCATTTTCTTACTAACTTTATGCCACTTAATATGAATAATGACATGTTAATGACATTTTCTTATGGACATATGACATTCTCAGATTGCTATCCTGATACAATGTACTGCCACAAACATGGCAGTTTTTTCATATAACAAATAATTTTGACATACTCAAATTATGAAAGTGGCATTTGTCTGAATAAAATCCAAAAAATCATTTAGAATTTAAAAAGGTAGTAGATGAATAGAAGAAGAAAAAATAGAAAACAGAGTGCAGAAGGGAGAGTCGAAGAAGTGCACCAGGGGAAGAAGAAAAAATAGAAAACAGAGTGCAGAAGGGGGATCGAAGAAGTGCACCAGGGGAAGAAGAAGAAGAAAGAAGAAAGAGAGGAAGAGGAAGAGGAAGAGGAAGAGGAGTAGGAGGCTACCTACGATCGACGGCGGAGGTAAGATGCGAGGCCTGAGTCAGTGGCGGAGCTGCTACGATGAATTTTTGCAATCGATCGAGAGAAAGCCGATGAATTGCAGAATGATGTGAAGGGCAGAATGGTAATCGATGGTCCTATTTAGGGAATTTACAACATGTAGTCCTATTGTTGAATTTTGACCATGTTTTAGTCCTCTTAAGATCAATTTCTTTTTAAATAATTCAACTGCTACATTCTCATTGGTCCATGTGGACAAAGGTATAGTACCTTATGGGTACCATAGAATCTACCTTTTTTTATTGGGATCGGTTGATCAAAGGCTAACCCCAATATAACTCTAGAGAGAAGTATTAAGTTGCTTAAACAATTTGTTAGGTTTTAAAAGTTGGGTTAAAGTCTTTTCCCACACCGTAAAATTATTAAACAAAAAAATTATATAAATTTTTTATTACTCTCTATCAAGTTGACCTTTTAGAATGAAATCTCATCTTCGCACGCATGGTATCAGAGCTAAGTTCATTTGTGGCTTGATTCCTTGTTTATATTCTTGGCAAGAATATAAAATCATCAATTCTTAGGCCACTGTTTGAGTCCAGATAAAATAATGATAATGCGGCAACTCAAACTAGCTCAAGAGGCTATAAAATCATCATATCATTTAATAAAGCTTTCCAATTTCACTTCATGACTTGAAACCAAGAATAAATTCCACTATTGGTCCTACGAGTTTTAGGTCAATTCCACATTTAGTTCACATCTTTTACTTTATCCACTTTTGATACATGACTATTGTATTTTCGCCCATATATGATCCTTCCGGCATTGTTTCTGATGGTTAAAATCGTTGGAAAAAGACCACAAACGGCTAAAAACAATTAGTCAAGTACCAAAAGTGGAAAAAATGAAAGACGTGGACTAAAGGTGGAATTGGCACAAAACTTGTAGGACCAAAAGTGAAATTAATTCTTGAAACCAATAACTTTCACAAAGGACGGAATACTTAAGTGTGGGTATGATTCATTGGATCACTCTCACTTGTTTTAAAATTTCAATGTTTACACTGATCCAAAAGGTGGAATCTCCCGCTTCAGGAGCCCCCACACCTCGACCCGACAAGATGGTGAAGAAGTAAGTTACGGTGACTCAGTCAACAAAGTGGCAGTAGGTTATACACCCGTGCGCGCTAGAGGTCCAACCTTATTTCAGGTTCTGTAACCTCCACACGGTCATGCACTTCATTTTTTATCAAAGTGTATCATGTATTTGAACTCCGTTAATCCAACAAGGTCTTGACGCCTGACGCCGTTAAAAAATGCAGGAAGAAGACGACCGCGGGACCATCTTTCTTTGTTTCAAAAGTGCTCAAAAAATTAAAAGAAAAATACCGGAAGGTGCGCCTCAACAAGTCGACCGCGAGGCCGTATTTTTTTTTTTTGTTTCTGGACACCCTTGTCACCGGAAAGTCTGGCAGAAAAGTGATATTAGTGAATTCATTTTTAAAAAACAATTCAAATAGATCCGAAAAATCCAAAGACATAGGTGGTTTGGAGGTCATCCAGACGAAACGCACCTTCCAATATTTTTATTTTAATTTTCCGGCCACTTTTGGAATAAGGTGACAGAGGGAGTAGTCATTTTAAAAGTTATTTTTTGTAAGAGTTCTCAAATCGTGTTGCTCAAAGTTTGTTAAGGTTTGTTAAGGTGATCAATTCAAATTGAGTGATTTGGGCGGAGTATGAGTTAATTTCACATTATATTGTAATATTGTAACTCAAGTGACTAAGGCTATGTTTGGCATGCATAAGTCAGTGTCTTCTAGCTTTTGTACTATTTAAAAAGTTCTTAAAAGCTTTTAGTTGTGTGTTTGGCATGCCAATTATTAAGAGCTTCTATAAAAATAAAAGATCTTTTTTAGATGCTACAGTGAGTAGCATCTCAGATAAGTATGTAGCTTCTAGCATTAATTAGTCCCAACAGCTTGTATACCAAATAGAGTTAAACCAAACAGTCAGCTTTTTATCAAACAGCTACTGCATTTTTCGTTTAAGATTTTTTCAGTCACTAAAAGCTAACAGTCACTGAAAAGTTCATAAAAGTATATTTTCAACTAGTTGTGCCAAACATACCCTAAAGATGTTTGAGTAATGAAATTATTTATGGGATTTATCATAAAAAGATTGGAGGCCCTAGATTGACTATGCCAACTCCCCAAGGCCCAATCACCGGCCCCGATATTATCATTGCCAATCTTTTTCTAAAGGTCGTTATTGTCTCCTTATAGTTAAAATGGATTTTTAGATCAACACTACAAAAAAACACTCGTTTAGTCACGGACCGTAGTCACGGATTTGGTCCGTGACTAGCCTAGTCACGGACTAGTCACGGACTAGTCACGAAAATTTAAAAAAAAAATTAGTCACGGATTTGACCGTGACTACAGCCGTGACTACACGTAGTCACGGATTTTTGTCCGTGACTAACATCCTCCGATTGCCCGTTTGATTTTCCGGCCTGACTTGTTTTACTCCGGCGACATAGTCACGGCCACATCCGTGACTACAGCCGTGACTAAATTTAAAAA